GATTTTCACTTTAAGGTGCTCCCTTTGACTACTGGAGAGAACCCTCATAGGGAGGCGTATTAGCCAGGGATTTCCAGAGAAGCAGAACCAACAGGATATATAGAGAGAAAGAGATTTATTTTAAAGGATTGTCTCACATGATTATGGTAAGTCCAAAATCCATATTGTAAGCCAGCACCACCTCAGACTCATTAAGATGAGTCTATCCAAGCCCCTCTATCCCAACCCCCAGAAAACAACAAGCGTTGGTGATGATTACAACCCTTGGGTGCCCGTTAGGGGAATAAAAAAAAGAAATAGTCACTGTGAAAACCAGTATGGCAGTTCCTAAAACAATTAAAAACAGAATTATCATTTGATCTAGGATTTCCACTGGGTATATACTCAAAACAATTGAAAGCAGGATCTCAAAGGAATATTTGTACATCATGCTCATAGCAGCATTATTCACAATAGCTAAAATGTGAAGCTACCCAAGTGCCCATTGATGAGTGAATAGATAAGCAAAATGTGATGTATACATACAATGGAACAGTATTCAGCCTTTAAAAGGAAGGAAATTTTGACACGTGCTACAATATAAATAAACTTTGAACGCATTATGCTAACTGGAATAAGCCAGTCACAAAAAGATATACCGTGTTTCCACTTACATGAGGGACTTAGAGTGAAATGGTTTCTAGGAGCTGGAAAGAAGGACATAGAAGAGTTATTCTTTAATAGGTATTCAGTTTAAGTTTTACAAGATGAAAAGAGTTATGTTGGTGATAGTTGCACAGCATCATAATGTATTTAATACCACTGAACTGTACACTTAAAGTAGTTAGGATGGTAAATTTTCTGTTATATATATTTTACCACAATTTTAAAAAAATTAGAAAAAAAAAAAGTGATGTTTCAGTCCTGAGTCCAAAGGTGGAAATTCAGGCAGAATTTCTATATTGTAGCCTGGAGGCAAAATTTCTTCTTCCAGAAGCCTCAGTCTTTGCTCTTACAGTCTTCAACTGATTAGATAAGGCCCACCTACATTATGGAGGACAATCTGCTTTACTTAAAGTCTACTAATTTAAATAGTAATCACATCTAAAAAAATACCTGCACAGCAACATCTAGACTGATATTTGATCAAACGACTAGCCACCATGGCCTAGCTACGTATAATTAACCATCACGGGGACTTGGGTGGAATCAGGGAGGCCAGTAAGGAGACAATTGGGATGATCCAGATGAGTAAGAATGGTAATTTGAACCACAGTGGTAAGCAGAGGTGGTGATGAGAAATGGTCAGATTTTAGATATATTTTGAAGGTCAAGCTGACATAATTTGTTAATAAACTGAAGGTGGGATATGAGAGAAAATGAAGAGTCCAGGATGAATCTAAGCTCTTGGCTTGAGCAACTGGAATAGTGTTTCCATCAACTAAAATGGGGGAGGCTCTGAGGGAGTAGTTTGCAGGAAGAGGAAGGAAAATCAGGATTTCTGTCTCAGACCTGTTATGTTAAGATGCTCATCAAATATTCAACTAAAGGTACTGAATAGGCAGTTAGATATATGAGTCTAGAGTTTAGAAAGGTCTAGTTTGGAGATGAAAATGTAAGAGTTTCAGCATATAGATATAGTGTTAAAGCCATGAGACTAGTGACCTCAACTACAGCCATTTTGGTATAGTGATGGGGTCAAAAGCTTGACTGGAGGGGCTTCAAGAAAAAATGAGAACAAGAGATGGTAATGAATCTACAGATAATTCATTCTAAGGGTTTTTCTATGAAAAGGAGAACAATAGGGTAGTTGGAGTCCACAGGAGATTTTTAAAATTAGATGTATAACAGCATCTTTATATGCTAATGGCAGTGTTTCAGTAGAGAAGGAAAAGTCAAGGACTTTAACAAGTGTTGACTGTGCAAGGAGCTATGCTAAGTGCTTCACAGGTGTGTGGTCGTTCCTTCTTAATCATCACACAAGCCTATGAGGTAGGAGCTGTTGTTAGCACTTCACAGCTGAGAAGATTAAGGAACAGAGAGTTAAAGTCATTATCAAAGTCACACAATTGGTAAGGGGCAGAGTGAGGATCTGAACTCAGGAACCATGAACCGTCCTCCTACACAGACTCTACATTTTAGCTCTCCATTTATACAATTCATTAAGGATATGAAGTGCTATCTCAGAAGTTTTGTTTATAACATTAGAGAATATTATGGGTGAAAATTCTGCATTATAATGGTGTTTGCAGAATTGGAGATTCTCATAGGAAAGCGTCCCTCTTAAATGTTAAAGGCTGATGTTTTGGATTTTCAGAACACAGCCTGCTCTCTCTTAACTTTTATCACCTTGCGTGTTTGGTTCTGAACTGCCCTGCAATTCCCCTTCTTGGGTGAATTCCAGCCAAGTGCAGTCACCTCTCTGAAGTTCTCTTTGGTCCATATGCCCAGACACTCTGCCTACATGACATTGTAGCATAATCTCCATATTCGTTCTTATATCTGTCTCCACTGCTGGGCTGCGCACACTTTCAGGAAAGGATCTAAGCTCATTTTGTGTGCCCAATTCTGCTACCTGGAAATCTCTCAGTACATCTTTGTCAAATGATTGATCCAATTAGACAAGGCTGCCATTCCTTGCTCTCGTAGATCAGAGATTCTCAATAAAGGGAAGGGAGACACCCCCCACCCCTAACACATATACACCCAAGGACATCTGGCAATGTGTGGAGACTAAGGTTGGGGTTACTACTGGTTATCTGGTGGACAGAAGCCAGAAATGCTATTAAACAGTCTACTACTCAGAGAACAGTCCGTCACAACAAGGAATTATCTGGCCCAAATGTCAACAGTGCTGAGGCTGAGAAACTCTCATAGATTAAAACAGAAAAATGAAGTCCTAAGATACATACCAAAAAATCTCCATACCAAAAAATCCTGAGATACATACCAAAAACTCTCATAGATTAAAACAGAAAAATGAAGTCCTAAGATACATACCAAAAAATCATACCAGAAAACTGTTGTTTTTCTCATTCTGATTATTCTTAGCCTAGGGTAGGTGCTTACTTCATCAGATTGTGGGTTCCTTCTCCAGCAACTCTATAGCCTAAACATCTTGCTCCAAAACTGAAATAGTTCCCTAAATCAAAGAGGCAGTAGCCCATTACCCTTAGAATTAGGTTACGTTTCCCTAATCCAATGCTGAAACAGCTCTTCGAATTCCCTGGGGAATTTACAGAACATTTAATGATAAATACACCAACACTAATTTTATATCCATTCTAGAATATATTGCATCACTTTTGCTGCTAATCTACGTACCAGTTCCCTCTAAGGTCAACAGGTGCCAAAAATCTACAGACAAAAGTTTTTCCCAAGCTTGCTCTCATCTCCAACTAAAGAACTGGGAAACAAAAATATTCTTTGAGTTCAGCTCCCTCCTCAGCAAATACACAGAAACATTGGGTAAATATTTTAACAACATCTGTCAAGTTTAAAAACAAAGAGAAAGCGGTAGGTGCCCGAATGAGGAAGGGCCATTTGGTGCTAATTGGAATTGAGGTTTCATGATCCAAGGAGTAAGTACACCTGACATGAGGTTTTCTTACAATTCAGGAGACTGGACTGTGTGGGGGAGGTGGAAAAGAGCAGAGGCCGTAGGCCTTGGACAAGCAGGAAACTGAATTGACTCCCTGGACAAAGTTGGGAGTTGGAGAAATCTTTGTAGTTCAAGGACTTGGCTTGGAAGCAAGTGCTAATCTCTGTTACTGGTAAAAGAGTCAGCCTTGAAAAATCAGAACTCCCAGGCTGCTCTGCATGCAGTTGGGTGGCCAGACTTTTGTATGAGATTGAGAACAAGCTAGAGGGAGAGGAAGAGTCAGAGTTGAGAAACCAGCAACCCTCATAGGACTCTGTCAGATGTTAGCTGCAGGGCTGTTTCAGGAACGCACAGGATGCTCAAAGAAGATAATGTCCATTCTGGATGAGCCAAAAGCAAATAAGGAAATGCAATTTGCTCAGAGAAAATCAACTGGTACAAAAACAGGAGAAATTATACCCAAAGAACTATAATTATTAGATTAATCTACAAGTGATTTGAAAATAAACATGATTAAAATGTTCATCAAGATAAGGAAGAACTGGAACTCATTAGGTGAAATGGGGATTTTAAAGAAAAGAGCAGAGAGATTTTTAAGATAATCAAATAGAAGGTCTAATAATGAAAAAATATTTTAAAAACTAGAATCTAGATGGCGAGGAAAGCAACAGCTAGAAAGAGTTTAAGAGCCACCAAAACAATAAACTACCAATCATTGATGTGACTGGACTACTGAGGAGTTCAATGGGGTATAAACATTTAATTTAAAAAAATTTTCCTAACTACTCCTAAATAGGCTCTCGCCACACCCTCCTTTCCCATCAGGTAGCTGGTCTATAACTACTCTTGGCCAGCTTCTGTGACACTCTTATCACTTGAGGTTATTGTAACCATCTAATTTTGATACAATACTCTCCCCTTATCCACAGGGGATATGTTCCAAGACCCCCCAGTGGATGCTTGAAAGCGTGGATAATACCGAACCCTATATGTACTTTGCTTTTTTTCTATACATACGTACCCATGGTAAAGTTTAATTTCTAAGTTAGGCATAGTAAGAAGTTGACAACAATAACTAAAAATAAAATAGAACAATTATAACAACACACTCCAGGTTTTCTTATGGCAGTGTTCAGCTTCATTTTCCCAAAGGGCAGCTGCATCTCCCTTAGGACCCTCGCATATACTGTGATACTTCTGCTGGGTGGGTGTCCCATCATGTAACCCGGAGGCCACTTGGCAGCCTCTCAGCTCCTGCCTCTCCACTGTCCTTTGGGCTCCTTCATGTGAACACAGAGATAGCCCTTCCACATCCTTCTAGGCCCATGGGTGGGGTGGAGGTTCCTCCTCTTTTCCTCCCAAGCGCACTGAGTATTCATTGAATTTGGAATGCTCAGTGCTTCATGCTTATTGTGCTCACCTTTGGTGTAGCCACAATTCTGGGACAACAGGAGAAGTCTCACTCAGCATCCTGAGCTTTCACACTGTGCCATGTCCACATTGGCAGGAAACTGCAGCTCGGAGAGGTCAAATCACTTGCCCGACTAGTGGCTTGGAGATCTTGGATCCAAGTACAAATCTTTCTAACTTCAACACCAATGCTTTCCACCATGTTTTGCTGTAAAAGAGGATATTCTAAGTCTACAAAAGATTTGGAGGAAATTAAACAACGTCTTACCCCTAGAGAGTCCCAACAAA